ACACCTTCTTTTTTTTCTTTTCTCGCCCCTTCGACCACATAGGCGCGAGCGAGGAGGGTGGTGAGTGGTTTCGCGCCTAACACGGGACTGACTCTGCGGCCTGTTGTACCTCTCTTTAAAAACGACACACGCGCACAAGTGCAAAAAGAGAGAGTGGTGTTTATTCAACACACACCCAGAGCCCGGACACTGACATGTAAAAAAAGAGGGAGAGCGAGAGACCCAAAAACCCCTCGCTCGAGTGGTGTGTGTTTATGCGGCGCGGAGACCCTTCCTCACTGGGTTTAATACTCGTATTACTCGACTTTCTCCCCCCTGGCAGTCTGCAAACTACATGTACTGTATATGCAGCGTACATCACAACACCTTTTGTAAACCGGCCTGGTTCTAATCGTTAACGCGTAATCAAAATATGGCTCCAGAGATGAACTTGGCGTTAATATGAACAAAATAATATTGAACCTAATCTTGGGTTAGAAATGCAGCGTTACATTCATTTCCATTCAAGGCTGGGCCTGATTTTAAAATGAACTGACTGAAGGAATATCCCTTTGGTGCTCCCCCTCAAAGCCGCACCCCGAAACACGTGGGGGCGCAGCGCCCGACTCCTGCTGGAGGACGGGCCGCTGGGGAGAAGCAGGCGGGACGCTGGTGTCATCATCACTGACCTCATCCACATGTACCCAAGATAACGGGTTGTTTACCTTCTCCGTGGAGCATTTGTTCTTTGGATGTGAGAGAATTTCTCAGAGAGAGAACTTAGACAACAAAAAGGCTAATAAATTGACCAACCCAGATTTTAGCATTCAATATTAATGGGGACATGGATAGTTTGCCAGCTACAAGTTCTTTTTAAGGCATAATTTATGACGCGGGTTGGGAAATTGTGTTATAACTACGTTGTATTCTTTTTAATAGCAATACTGTGCGGGATACATGTTGTAGGATAGTAACCTGTTTTTCTCTTCAGTGATAATTGTATTTGAAATAGTGTTTTTTTAAAAGTGACGGAGGATTTGAAAGGGCACTCCCACAGTATGACGCTTGAAGACGAGATAAATGGAAAGTAACTTCTAATTACAGTGACTTATGAATCATGTCTGTAATCTTCACATGATAGAATGGGGGGGGGGGGGGTCCCGTCTATTGCCGGACATCGAGGGAAACAGTGTGTGACCGCTCACTGGGATCACTCAGTTGGGTGAAAACACGAAAGGCTCCTCTCGAGGGTAGTCGGGAACGCGACGTTGTCCGTGCCTCGCTTCCCTCCTTCACTGCAGCATGAAGCCCCCCCTCCTCTCCCCCTTGCATCAATCAAAGGAGTGAGGCCGTGGCGGCCCGCCCTCCCCTCGGTGGGGGCAGTCTGTAGCCCAGTGGCCTCAGTAGCAGTAACATTGATCTCTACGGAAACCACGTCCTCTGCCCCCCTCCTCCTCTGCCAGCGCCTGGTCCCCCACCTTTCTAGGGGGGGTTAGGGTTGCGTGACGTTGGGGGCCATTGAGCCGGGCGTCTTCGTGGCTGCAGGCCTGGGCGCTGCTGCTATATGGGCAGGAAGTAGACGGCAAAAGACTCTCTTGGCAGGCTGTCGGACTGGAGGTCATGCAGGTGGGGGTGCACGTGTAGCAGTGGCTGGTGATGGAACGGAAGGTGGGGGGCTTTGTTTGACAACAGGATCCATCCTGTACGGGGAGGAATAGAGAGAAGATTTGTTTGATGTGTCTTTTTTAGACAGCAATTTTCTGGGATTACCGTTGAACTAGAAATGTCTGATATCATTAAAACACGCTGATCAAACTTAAACACAAACTTTTTGTTTGAAACTAAAGGAACGGAATCTCTACTAACTCAACATTTAGCGCCAGCCAGGTTACAAACTAGTTTACTTTGAATAAGCTTATTGTTTTTTACAGTTAATTTCAGTTAAGAAACAACTTTCATTGCCATTTATTTTGATCGTTTTGTTAACTGTCTTGTTGCTTTTCTTCTGCCTCATTACAATTGGTGCAGTTCTGCAAACTGTGGTTTGACCTCACAGAAGAGGTGTTGGCACCGAGGCTTTATATAACTCCCTTGACTTAATTGCCTCATCCCTTTGGGAACACCAGGACCAAGCGCAGCAGAACGTGACCATGAAGAGGAGGAGGAGGAGGAGGAGGAGAGGGAGAGTAATGATGAGCTGCTGGATCTAATGACGGAGGACATTAGGGTGAAGCAGAGGCGACGAGAGGAGAGAACAAGCTCTTTTTTCTACTGAAGAAATAGAGATGTGTGGGTATATGTATGTATATATTTAAACAATAACATAGTACTATACTACTAGTATTAGTACATATGTGTGTGTGAGTATATAGACGGTGGCGTAATCTTTCACTCGCATTAGACATTTCTACTTTCATTCGTGGTATAACCACAGATTCAAATGTATTTCTTTGTGATTTTCTGTCACGGACCAACACAAAATGGTCCATCGGTTTACACGGATCTCAAAATTATTTCCAAATAAAAATCTGAAAGTGTTGCAAAGTGCATTTGCATTCACCCCCTAACAAAGATCTGGTGTCACCAATTGCCCCCTTTGCAGGTGATTGGACAGAGGAGGAACCGATCAGGGCAGACAATCGCTCACAGGGAAAAACACACCAGGGCAGGAGGTGAAGGTAACCCAGGCACACGAGAACCCACACCGTGACACACACTTTGATACCGATAGGCATTTCTTCCAACAAAATATAACCACATTTTCATTTGTTATACTATTTTGTTTACACGCTTTTGAGTCCAGCCAGAAAAATGGTGGAAAAAAAAAAACAAAGAGTCTTTCCCTGTCGTCTAATTTGGTTGAGATCCAAAGTGAAAAGTCCTCCAAGTCGCTTGGACGCTTGGTCCTTGGGATCAGCATGCAAGGCCTCAGTACTGGCTGGGTATTTAGTCTCTGCCCGCCTGGCTGTCCTCATTTTGTGCACAGAGTCGTGCAGCACTTTCAGACAGCCTGGAACAGGAGCAGTGACCTAGTGTTTCAAGAACCAACATCAGATGGGGGCCCGAGGGTGAAGCAGCAGGGACCCGACGCAGCAATGCAAGCTGCATGCCGTTTTTCTTGCTTTACAAAACTGAATAACGCTGTCATAGAACATGCAAACTATAGGAGACACCCACTGGGAATGAACCTGTTCAGGGGGCAAGTGGACCCTCTTTCCCAGCAATACCTAGTCAGGACAACACCCCTGTTGGTGATGGAGGTGCACACCATCGTGCACACCTGGAACATCCTGGATGCATCTGATGTGGCAGCGGTGTCAATGAGGTCTCCCCCCGTTTGCAGCCCCGAGTGAATGACGTTGGTGGCAGACTCAGCCCCTCGGTCACGCAGCAGCCTGAGTCAATGTGAGGCAGCACTACGGGGGGAACAGATGCTCCATCACCGCACAGGCCATTGCTTCAGGTCCCGGCCCCTCAACAACTGTTAGTAAGGATCCTGGTGACCTTGTTGCCGACGAAGTCACACAGAGTCCATGTGATGTGTTGTGACAACCGTGAGCTTACCAACTGGTCTTTTTTCTTTTCTTCTTCTTATACATCACCTATAGCAGTACAGATACATCTACATATGTCCTTTATCACTAAAGTGTACAGGACATGATATGTACACACCGTACATCAAAATATATTACACAATCATATCATGTTTTACTTTTTGGGTTGATGCACCCAAAGGTGGAGGTGAGGCTCCATGAGGGGAAAGGTATCCCGGCCTTACAGGGACTACTGGGCATGTTGATGGGGGGCTCCTTGCAGACCACTGTGAGGCCAGAGTTTCACCAGGTGTATCAAGATAGGAATGCATTTTCCTGGAGTGAGTCATATACAGTGTACCTTGTCTGTTTTACATTTTCTGCACAATTATATTGCCGATTTGTCTGTGTCAATTGGATGCCATGCATAGTAATGACACTTGATTGAGCACATATTGTTTACTTGTTGTTTGTCCGTTCCCCCGGGGGCTGGTGTATTACAGAAGGCCAAACCCTAGAGCCGGCTACCGCCCTCAGCCAATAAGCGCGGGGAGATTAAAAACCCCTCTACCTGTGGTTTATCTAGTTAACGTATAAAATATTTTAGATGGAATCACTTTTCCTGAAAAGACATCCAGCAAACGCATGGGAACAGGAAGAGCCCCATTTCCACGAAGCCCCATGCCCCTTATTTAAGGCAGTGGTTCTCAAACTGTGGGGCGCAACCCTCTGGTGGGGCGCGGAGGTATTACAGGTGGGGCGCGAGGGGCTAGGGGAAATGGGGAAATGGGGGACCCCTACTCGGCAAGTACCGGCCCCGAGACTCCAGGCCCCGACCCCGACTCGCCTCTAGTCCCCGCTCCGAGACTCATGACCCCGACGCCTCCAGTCCCCGATCCGGCCCTTGAGGGTGGGGTTATGGGGGGGGGGGTGAGCCGGCGACTCCGGAGGTTTTCCGTGTCCCCGAGCCCTCGACTCCGGAGACGTTCCATGTCCCCAGCCCTGGACTCCGGAGACGTTCCGTGTCCCCAGCCCTGGACTCCGGAGACGTTCCGTGCCCTGCAGTCGGCGTTCCGGAGCCGGCCAAATGACCGTCCACCGGGCCGACCCCCGGAGGCTCCCCGGCCGTTTGCCTGTCCGCCGGGGCCGACCCCCAGAGTTTCCCGGGCGGTCCGACCAACGTCTCTGGTTTCCCTCCCTCCCGCTCCTTGTCTGCTCTCTGCTAGTTTAGGGCCGTCTGGGATTCGGCCCTTGAGGGGGGGGGAGGTACTGTCACGGTGTAGTTTTATTTCCAGTCTTATTTTGTAGTTTTCTGCTCCGTGTCTCCCTGGGTAACTTCACTTCCTGCCTCAAGAACTGCCTCATGCTCTCTCCTGGAAGTCAGACACATACTCTGTGTACGCCACACCTTCTCTCCATGCTGAAGCTCTCTGCTTTGTGGTTATAAAGTTCCATGCGGTCACAAAAGGTAATTCATACATGTAGGTTTAACAAATAAACTGCTACTTTGGGGACAAACATACAAATAATTGATAAACTAATGTCAGTCAGGTATTAAATCATTTGAATGACAAACCCGATATCTTATGCTCTGAACAAACACGGGAAGTCCGCACTGAGATTTTGTTGAGGCTGGATGAAACCCAGTCAGACTAGATTGAGCAAAGACAATACAGCTAGTTTGGCCCTTATCTTACTCCATTATCATCCCAGCATCAAACCACTCTCCGTACATCGTCTGCTTCCTGGCCGCACCAACCCGACCACCAACAGCACTTCATTCTACCGGGGAATAAATTGCTCTCCACACGAGATGTTTCTTTGAAAGGTTATAGATAGTCAAGCAATTGGGTGCGATTCTGTAGCCGCTATAGAACCTAACGTAGCATTTCAGCACAGATGTATAGCAGATGATCAGATTAAACAAACACCACCAGGGAGTAACTGGGGCACTAAATACTTAACAGTAGTTACTGTATTCTATCCATCCATAATATTGGCAATCTTACACATTGTAAACATGTACATTTACACATGTAAATATCTGTTACTGTGTCCAGAGAACAAAGAAACAACAATTGACTGATTACAGCACTTTAGGCTCTAATGGGACATAATTACCCAGCGTTGGTTTCACATCAGAAGAACGATTGATAAAACACCAGCAGTGATGAACACTTATAGGTTTTACTTCAGAAGCAGAGGAGCGTCGTGCGTCCCAGGAGGAGTCAATAGAGGTCGTTCTTCGTCTCGGCGATGCTGGACCCTCTTGTCATTTCGGGGGGGGGGTTTCCATGACAGACGATGGCTCACTGTGACTGGCCGTTAGCTCACCACTGGATGCCGAGTCATTTCCTGTTTTTCCTCTATGTCATATAAGCCTGAGGCGCGTCCAGGAATGCTCCGGCAAGTCTGTGTCTTTAATCTTGACCTTGTAGTTTATTACCTAATCGTCGAAGAACGCCGCGATGGCCCATCCGTCATGCCTTTCACTCCGTTACACACTCGTTTCCAGGCGGCAAATGTTCAGGCCAACGCTTTTTCATTTCAGAAGATCGGCCGTTAGGCAGACATCCCTCCAACATCGGTTCCTCTGTATCCCATGCTGTTTATTTGGTTCTGTCCTGATTTCACTGATTCCCTTTAAGCATCCGCCTTGTTGACAATAATCCCAACACTCCTCAGGAGGAGACATCTAGCCACATGTAGGCAGGGTTCACAGTTATACATCATATAGGAACAAACAGACCAGCAGAAGGAAATGTATAATTTGCTAATTTGCTAACATTATAGGTACGGATAATACAGTTCTTGGTCGCTATGACGATGGTGTACAGAATGTGCAAAGAGTGTGTTACAGTGTTACAGTGATGATGCATTGAGATCTACATTGATTCCTATTTACTTCACTGCAGATTTTTGTTGTAAAATGCTTTCCAGGCTTGTTTAAGTTAGCAAACAATCAGTTTAGTTCCACGGCGATGTGCTCTGCTTCAAAGTTTGAACGAATTTTCCTTTCTTCGGCGATTCTGTTAAGAGAAGAGAACAGTCCATAATAGTACTGTGCTACATTCCCCTTGGCAGGCAGAGAGCGAGTCGGAGCGGGATGATAAATCATTGCACATAAAGGAACACACACAGGACAGCACAGCACGGCAGAGAGAGAGAGAGGGAGAGACGGGGGGGGGGAGAGCGGGAGCACATGCAGTCGGGCTACAGCATCTCTGTGACTAACCACGGACTCCCTGTGCTGCAGCAAAATTGATGATTCGTCACTCTAGAGGTAAGAATTAAAGAAAAATGCAATGTCACTTTTTGTCTCTTTCTGTTCTGTCCACCCTGCACCGGAGGAAAGAGAGTGAGAGCAATTCAGAGCTCGATACCTGAGACTGAAGGACAATTCCAAGGGTTTTGCTGTCCTGTTCTTGTGTGCGTGTGAGTGTGAGAATCTATTTTCTATTGGCGTGTTCGGAGAACAGCGAAATGAACCATCCCAGTTTCCCTGCTGTGAGAAAGAGGCTGAACGTCGGCGTGAAGCCGCCTGCGTGACAATAACTGCTTCGGCGAGCTGTGTCATTGTATCTTGACAGTGAATTCTAATGCCGCAGTCCAGCCCCCTCCTCCTCCGACCCACGCGCTATGTAGCCCCCCGCTCTGTGGCCCCCCCGCTCTGTCCCGCTCGCTTCACTCTGCAAGCCGGGGTAACCGGCTGGCAAACATTCTGTGCCCTAAACAGATAAAACGTTGGGTTTCGTACCAAATGTCACAGTAAATTAAGCGAGAAAAGGTCTAAGGGGTCCTGGGTCCATTCTGCAACCGAGCCCCCCATTTATGTTCAGCCGCCGCCTACATGGTCGATACGCAACATAAAAGTTATAAAGAACATTCCCACTTTGGGGCCCAAATTTTTGAAACTGGTTTGCAGTGAAGGAAAATATATTTATTATTTCAGCTTAAAAAAATGACCTGAAAAAAATGACCGAGGTTGAATCAAGGCCAAAACATCACAAAACTGACACAATGACACACGTCTGGCGGTCTGGGACGGTTCATTGCTGCTGTCAAACCGCTGACTGCAGGAAACACAAGCTTTTAAAAAAAATACAATTTAAAACCAACGGACCAATCAGCTCAAACCCACAACTGCAGCCAGTCAGAAGGACAGGCGCCCTGACAGCACTGTGCATTGTTTTATTGACCGATGTAGCCAAGGTGTGGAGAGTTTTTGCAGTGATGTTTCCTGCCCATTTCATGACTGGCTGGTGTATTAGTCCTGGATGGAGCTGCAGTCCTGCAGTCCTGCAGTCCTGCCTGTCCCCTGTAGGCTGGTCCTTCTCCACACAGCACAGCATGCAGGGATTCTGTTTCTGCATTAGCAGCTGCTGAGACACGGCGAGCAGAGAAGTCTTTGCTCAGCATTTTCCCTAAATGCTGTCTGAGTTTGGGAGTCCACTCTGGGTGCTGGGAGACGGTGGATCCCAGGACGTGGGAGGCTTCACTGGCCGACGCTGTTGGGATGGCGATGCAGTGGTCTAGGGGAGCTGCTCCTCAAGTGCCCTCCCATCTCTACAGTCTTAAAAGTGCTCCAGGGTGTTCTGACTACACCAGAGGGCCAGCTGTTCAACCTCCTGCCTGCATGCAAACTTGTTTCCGTCCCACATTAGGCAGATTAGCGTAGCGTGTGAGCAAATTTAAGGATTTTAACCGACAGGTCTCCTGAGGTGCAGTCATCGGCGTACGGGGAAAAGAGCAGTGGGGAAAACTCTCTGGGGGAATGTCGATGCAGATGGTCCGGGTGTTGGAGAATTTGATGATGCAATACAAATATACCAAAGATATATCACATTGAATCATGCTCTCGTAACCAATTAACTGTGCAGTGAGAGAGAGAGCGGAGACACTGCAACTCCAACAGCAGAAAAATGGCCCCTAAAAACACACAACGGAGAGCGTGTTACATTTCTTATTATAACAGACGTATAGGACCATGAGGACAATGGCATGTGACATCTATACATCAAATAGCCAGATGCATTTATCTGTTACGCAACCTCAACAGAAGTTACACACACTGCACAGCAATTTGTTTCCAGAGAATTGATTTAATTTAGAATATGCTGAAAAATGGCACAAAAAATTAAAGTCAAAGGTGAGTTTGCCATTATTGTGTCAGAAATAGATCAAATCCTGTGACTATTAGTATTTCTGTACAACAGTGGCCTCTGGTGGGGCGTCTAACGTAAATGGTTAATGGACCTTGTCCACAGAGAACGCTGCAGCCACGGCTCTCTGCATGGTTTGAAAACCTTGTTTCCTGATTCTTTCATTTACTCTACTGTTACTTACTGTTTTATCAAATAAAAAATACTTTTGTATATTTTTTAGTGTTATGCAAATGTTTAGAAAAAAACAGCTCTGGCGTTATGACTGGACCAGTTAATGAAATCAACCTTCTTCTTTCTTTTTACTGCTCCGATACTAATTAGCTCCTACAGTATGCAGCGTACCACAAAATCATATCATACAGTCAGGAACCTTTAGGTGCGTAATTTAGGATATTTCGATTCTAATATCTAATTAATTTGGAAATGGTAACAACCAATAGAGCAGCTGCAGCCGACCAACGGTGTTACCTCACGAGTCTCCTAAACTGTGACCTGGGCCTGGCCACCACTTAACTATATACTACTATACTATAATACGAAAAAAATTATATTGTTTGACAACATTCAAACGTAGCAAAGTGGGAGCCGGGCAGCTTTGCCCTGCTAATCACGAATCACAATCAGAATGAGCTTTATTAGCCATGAATGCTTATGCATACCCTTTACTCTCCCTTTGAACAAATAGACAGGAAAAATATAAAAACGGACAAGGCAAAGTAAGTAAAAACAGGTGAGGGAATAGAACATAGATATATCCAACTATATATATATATATAAATAACAACAGTCAATTAAGGTTGGCGGGAGAAACTTGGCGTACCGTGCTCAGAGGGGAGGAGGTTGGGTCCGGGGCGTGAAGGTTCGGCAGTGATCTTTCCCGCCTGTTTCCTGACTCTGGAGGTGTACAGGTCCAGGATGGAGGGCAGGCTGGAGCCGATGATCCTCTCTGCTGACCTGACAAGTTGTAGTCGGTTGCTGTTTAGTGTGATGGAAGAACAGAGAACGGACTGGATGATGGCGGAGTAGAACAGCACCCTGAGGGAGGTTCAACTTCCTCAGCTGGCACAGGAAGTCGAACCTCCGCCGGGCCTTCTTCCTGATGGTGTCAATGTTGGCGGCCCGCTTTCGGGTCCCGGGAGACTGTGGATCCCAGAAACCTGAAGGTCTCCACAGCAGACACAGTGTTGTAGCGTATGGCGAGTGGGGCAGCTTTGAGCTTAGAGAGAGAAGCGCAGTGGGGAGAGCACAGATCCCTGGGGGACGCCGGTGCTGATTGTCAGGGTGATGGAGGTGATTTTCCACAGCCTCACCTGCTGTGTCCTGTCTGTCAGGAAGTTAGTGATGTACTGACAGGTGAGGGGGAGGGTATTACTCTTAGTAATACCAAGAGAGCAATAATACTAATCCTCATCTTAAGAGTCGACTGTTTGCTTTATTCGGTTTTAGGTACCATGGCTGTTGGCTTCAGGCCGATGATCTTTCTACTGTTGCTGCTGTGTTGCTGGAAAGAGACCATCGGCAAAGAGGGAAAATCTAAGGGAAAGAAAGGGAAGCAAGTCGTCTGTCCATCGTAAGTAAATCTACTGTGTTTTATAATTTTGCCCTCTTTAACAAACTAGCGATTACCAGCAACATCATCCTGGGGGGAATCGAAATGTGGCTGAAGGAAGGGAACAGGAAAGCATGCGGTGTGACACATTTCTATCGTATCGTAAAACAAGGATTACAAACGGATTCACAAAGCCATTGAAACAACATAGAAACACAAGCGGGGATTACGGAAGAACTGAAGGAAGCGGCTTAATCTCCAAAATAGGTAAGTAGTAGAAAGCGGTTTACTCCTCTTGGTCAAGGTTTCAGGTACTCAAACCTTTTCTGCCAGTTTTAGCGTGAACGGTCCAAAGGTTGCTGACTTTGTTTATCCGCAGATTCTAAATTCGTAATGTTTGCAACCTTTTGCAAGATTATTCTAATAATGACCAACATTGACTTCTGTGGCAATCAGACCAAACCTTTAGGAGGAGATGTAAGAAATCTCTATTTTGAAATGATGCCTCCATTTAGTGTCTACAACCAATGGATAATGGGTTTAGGGGTCTCTACATTTCCACCTCTGGGCGACTGTGGGTGAGTGGGGAGCACAGTCGTCCTCCGATCAGAGGGTTGTCGGTTCAATCCCAGGCCAATGTGGTTGTGTCCTTGGGCAAGACACTTAACCCAACGTTGCTCCTGTAGCTGCGACTACAGTGTGTGGATGTTAGTGACTGATGGGCAGGTGTCACTGTGTGTGGTTCTCCTGTCATCAGTGTATGAATCGGTGTGAATGGGTGAATGATGTCATGTAGTGTTAAAGCGCTTTGAGTGGTCAGAAGACTAGAAAAGCGCTATACAAGTACAGTCCATTTACCATTTACCATTACTCTTACATATGCCTGTCACATTTTAAACAGAACGTTCAAAAGAAATATGATTGGAAAAGTTTGCCAGGTTTGTGAGTTTTAGAGCACTCTAGTACTTGACAATATCAAATTTAATTAAGAAAAATTCTTTGCATACTTGCTGCAAGCAGAAAGAATCGAATCCAATTGAACAGGTTAAGGACTTAAACAGGTCCCAAAATAACGTCCTACATACACGTCTATGATTGCCTACAACTTCATACACATCAGTTTAAGGAACAATTTTTGTTAAGGGCATTCATGCTTGTATTTAATCCTATTTATATGCTATGTACTATTTGATGTCTTTTGAGGAACGCTTTTCTTCTTTTACACTGTTTACAAATTCCCACTCTTGACAGGATTTAGATACAAACTTACAAGTGATGCACTTTGCTCTTAGCTGTGAATCAACTACTCTTCCATTTCTCAGTTTCCCATTTTGTTGTGCTTTTAATACCTTTTAATATTCATTTTCTTCATCCTCTTCTTCTGTACAGATTTTCTACAGACTAATCCTTTCGGAGTAGAACAGCAACAGAAACAATGTTTCCATTTGGATGTTAATTATTTTCATTCCAATTGAACAGCCAGCTGTCCGCAGAAGACTTGGCCCAGGTCCCTCCTAACTCCACCTCCAACATCTTGAACCGCCTGATGGTCAGTTATGACGCAAGAATAAGGCCTAACTTTCAAGGTAATGCCACACACTACAACACACTAACTATTGCCATGAGAACATATATATTTATTAGGACTCGGCAGGTTAACGCCTATTATTGCATTAGCGTTTCAACAATTATTCATTTATTATTATTATTATTATTATTATTTGTTTTTACTTGATTTTTCTTTGGAGAATCAGACAAAGAAGAGATTCAAATTGAAAATGTCCACATTACGGTTCCCCGCCGGTCGCTTCATTGGAGCGCAGCAGCAGTCTTAGGCCCCAAATGCTCTCATTGGTTGATCTCATTGGTTGAGGCGCATGAGGCGCGTCATCTGCCTGACATGTGTATACATATATATATATATATATATGGAAGAGCTTGTCTTTGTGTGTTTCAGGCATCCCAGTGGAATCCCGAGTGAACATCTTCATTAACAGCTTCGGGTCCATCCAGGAAACCACCATGGTGAGACTAGAAATGTCGAACAGGCTTTTCTTCACTCTACGGTGTGAGAACGTAGTCCTATTATCACTAGTGACGTGCAGATCTTAGTAAAAGTGGTAGATGTACAGGTGGCCGTGGGAGTGGCGGACAGGAGGGGCGATGGTGACATTGATCCGTCTCTCCACAGGACTACAGAGTGAACATATTTCTCCGTCAGAGATGGAACGACCCTCGCCTCCGACTTCCGACTGATTTTAAGAGCGACTCCCTCACTATTGACCCCAACATGTTCCAGTGTTTGTGGAAACCAGACCTTTTTTTTGCCAATGAGAAAAACGCAAATTTCCACGATGTGACGCAGGACAACATACTGCTGTTCATCTTCAGAAACGGAGACATCCTGATCAGCATGAGGTACCCACACAAATCAGTCCCCAGGACTCACTGTGCAGCGCTTTCTGATTCAGCATACTTGATAAATAACCGTTATAAAAGTACTAAAAGGGACTAAACTAACTAAGCAGCAGGGGTCGTTGTGCCGAGTTCGCCAGTGTCCTTTTAACCACCGATGTAACTATTTCTGTCTGTCGTTGCTGGAACAAATGTTCAGCACGTTGATGCATGAGGGCAGGTTGGAGCAGCGGGACACCTTCGCTGTAGTCCAGAGGTTCGGAGAACAAGGCCAGAACAAGAGGCGTCTCAGCTTTGCTGGATGTCCTCTCAGCATGGGAAGAGCTGTCCTCTTGCATTGGGCCCCCCCTGTGGAGAGAACCGCCCGCTCCCTTAGCCTGCAGGTCGGGGAGGGAAGGGGGTGGAGCGGCGTGTGATTCTGACTTACCTTCTTATCTGCTGGGTGGTGGTGCAGCTTTGGGGTGGCGGTGTCTTAACGACAATCGTATTTCTTCGTTCAACCTTTTACAGAATTCAAACTAGTGGATTAGGGTCAGGTGGTACGGCTTTTAGGAGCCCTTTGGGGAAAAGGGTCTTGACACATTAAAACGGACCGGAGAAGCCAAAGAATTGCATCGACGATTAAAAGACGACCCAGTAGAATTTTGAACGATAAATGCATATGTGAAAATCACAATAATTAAAATAGCGTATCTGAAGACAGCTTATTAGCTCTTTTCAACATACGGACGTATCCAGCAGCCATCGCGTGTGACTGACAGCCTCTTTGAATCACATCAGGGGGGTTTTGTTATTTTGTCCTATGTCGATATTGACTCCCAGTTGTTGCTTTTTGTTTCTGCTGTGAGTCCGTCCGCCACAGTTTCCGCAATTGGGTTTGAAGCTCAGAATCAAAGTTTGAGGTTAAAGATTTCGTTTCACTTAATACCGTCTTTCATCTGGCTGCAACATCCTTCAGGCTTTGAAATCATCTCCCGGCCAAAGAGCCGCTTTCTACATATCAATGTTAGTCTGTCGGCAGCAGTTACAACAGCAGTTGGAAGAATTAGCATGCAATTTGCCCCAACGGCCCTTTTAGTCATGACGGCTGTGTGTGTGTGTGTTTCTGTGTGCAGGCTCTCGGTGACTCTGTCGTGTCCGTTGGATCTGCAGCTCTTCCCAATGGACACGCAGCGCTGCAAGATGCAGCTGGAGAGCTGTGAGTTCGCGCACGCAGTGCTTGACATTTAAGTGGAGAGGCGGCTTTCAACAGGTGTGGGACTGTAACTAAGAGTCGGGACGAGGCTTCATCTCCCACAGAGAAACCAGTGGCTGTAGTGACATTATAGGATTTTACAGTGGTCGCTCATCACTTTCCACCACGTCAGCTTAAACGTGGCAGTAACACGACAGTATGTGTCACAGCGGCCTCTTCTCTAGTGCGCCAGTTACACATTAAACACTAAAATGCTCTTGACGTCATGCTCTTAATGCAACAGGAAACTGGCTTTTGGGAATTTAGGTGAATTTATTGTGTGTTTTTATCCATTTCTAGGCACCGAACTTCTCCTCACTTCTAAACAACATTTTGATGAAACGTTTGATTAAACGTTAGAGGATCCACAGAACGTGAAAAGCACCACAATGAAGTACTTTACTTGCCTGCTTGTTAATAGTTCTACTCTGCTATATCTCAGAGGAAACCAATTACATACAAATGATAAAGTAATATTATAAAAAAACAGTCATTTCATTCAGCTGGACTTTCACCAGACATATTAAGCCAGAGATATTAATGCATTACTATAAATTACACTATAATATGACAATATACAACATGCCATGTTTGGCTAGCTGTCACCTTCATGTATAACATGTTGTAGTCAACAGATGTATTGTCTAGAAAAGTACTTGTACAACTAATGCAATAATAGGCGTTAACCTGCCGAGTCCTAATAAATATATATGTTCTCAAGACTTAAAAAAAATACTGAAAAATATATTATAATTCTGACAAGTACAAGTACAAGATTAATTAATTAGTTAATGACTTGACACTTGTCACACATGACACAATGTGACACATTAATGTGTGTCACACATTAATCAAGACAAGTACAAGAAAAAGTTATTAAAAGTTCCCATTTTTATATAAATGCATCGCCACAAAAACTTGCTTTTCCACCACAACGCGTAGAGGTGTTTCTCTGTCCGGGCTGCTGGAGACGTTCACCGGCTGTTTTTAAACCGTAACCGTGGGCGACAGGTCAGAGTCACGCGTGTGCTTTTTGCACTTTGCTGACCTCCTTCTGGCAGATCAATGGAGATGGTGAACCTCAAGACCTTGATTGCTCTTCATGGTGAAAATGATGAATTCTCAATTAAATGCACAGCCCGGGCGGGTTAAAGGGAAACGCAACTCGGTCAGATCTTCTCCCCATTTCCCTCCTTTGATGAGAACACATCTGCAGCCCAATCGCCTCGTATACTTAGAAAGTCGATCAGATCCATGTTAAATTCGATAATTCGCCCAAACGTGACCTCCGTGTGCAAACACATTGTTAACAAAGAGAAGCAAACATGATGTCAAATATGGTTATTGTGCTCGCAGTCGGCTCAATAACCCATTTGGACAAAGCAGTCACGTATCTTAGCTAATGTGTGTGAACTAATGCAACGAGGACTGCTGATTTTCCTTCTGTGGTTTCAGTCGGCTACACCACCAGTGACCTGGTGTTCATGTGGCAGTCCGACCCGGTTCAGATGGATGAAATCGCCCTCCCTCAGTTCGACCTTAAAAAAGAGGACATCATATATGGAAACTGCACAAAATACTACCAAGGAACAGGTCAGTGCGATCACCCTGCGTCGGTGTAACGTGTTCTTTGTTCATTCACAATATCAAGTTACTCATTTTACACGATCTAGTTTCTTTTTCTTATGTTTGGTGATATCGAATGAATTGTGATCCGTGAGAAAATAAAAACACCAGCGTGAAAGACGCTGTAAATGCTTTGCTCCCCCGTGTGCTTCCAGGTTACTACACCTGCGTGGAAGTGATTTTTACGCTGCGTCGGCAGGTTGGTTTCTATTTAATGGGAGTTTATGCGCCGACTCTGCTGATCGTCGTTTTGTCGTGGCTGTCGTTCTGGATCAACCCCGATGCCTCAGCTGCAAGGGTGCCATTGGGTGAGTACCGCAGGTGTCCAGTCTTCAGTCATGATGGCCAGGTGATGTGGTCTGTCAGCTTTAGCTCCTTTTTACCTGTTTTTTGGTGCTGAACTTTTTGAATTACAAAACGCATACTGACCCGCTATTTTCTGTATCATTCATATCACAGTTTGATTCATTTATTCGTCTAATTGGTTAAAGTAGAAACAAAATAGATCGAGAGTGAATGTTGGCAACCACTGAGATGGAGAAAGGGAATTCTTGGACATTCTTCTCGTGCGTGAGGTGGACCCTGAACAGTATCAGGGCTCATCGGCTCATCTCAGACTGCTGCCTCCAAAAGGATCACGAAAATCCGTGGTCAGAATTTCCATACGTGACACAATTGAATAATTTATTTAATGTTGTTATGGTGATCTTGCCCTCCATCATGATCTGGACTGAAACTGAGGATATGCAGTGTATTACTGTTGCGAGAGCGGTCATTGGCTTTTTTTCCCCACCATGTTTATTTTTTACAGTCCCCTCCTCATTAAACTGAGCATCAGATATGAAAACTGAAACTTGTATTACCGTGATCTTATAGAGATTTTAATGTTCAATTAATAACAGTCCCTAATAACATGTGATTTTCTTTTGTTGCCATTTAATTTGTTAGCGATTTTCTGAATTCTTCTCTTATCAGGAATCCCATTCAGATCGATTCATCTAACCAACTTTCCTTTATCCCAGAAATCGTGATGATGTTGATGATGAACTACATGTTGACATCATCAAACTCAACGCGTCATTGCTACAAACCAACCGCCTCTACAACCATGTGCCGGCATTGACGTCAACGTCTGTGTGTTTTAGGTATTTTATCGGTGCTCTCTCTGTCCAGTGAGAGTATGCTATTGGCGTCGGAGCTGCCGAAGGTTTCCTACGTAAAAGCCATCGACATCTGGCTCATTGCCTGTCTACTCTTTGGCTTTTCATCACTGGTGGAGTACGCTGTGGTGCAGGTCAGTGTGTACACTCAAACGCGTAAATGCGCATGCATACGGTACGTCGGCAGATTCATCACTGGGTCAAATGATCTGGGATGATGGAGGAGAATGAAGCGAGAGGGAGATGACGCAGCAGTAGGAAGTCTAGACCGGGGGGCTGAATTACAGTCGAGCATTTGGACCGTGACCCATTTTCTGAGGCTCTGAGGTTATTTGCCGACTGCTTTGCCGGAGGCGTCCATGACCCGGTGAGGCCTGTTCCTTCAGTACTCCGTGACAAATGAAGCACATGACGGGTCTGGAGCTGATTCAAAAGGTTGGTTTGGTTTCTGGAAGCTGATCTTTGGAACATTCAGCATTGGAAGCCGTTATTAGGTTGAAGATACTAAACACACCAGGCGGACGGCGGACACATTAGGATCGGCAGAATCAACAGTTTGATACATTGTGAAAAACCTCCTCACCAACCCCAGAAAGCCCAGAGGACATCACAGGATTCACTCCTCGGTGAAGAAAGAAGCCTTCATCGCGTCTCTTAGAAATACCCACACGTCATCGTCAAAGTCTACGATCAAGAGACGCCTTCGTGGGATGCAAAGGGTCACATGGTGCAAAGCACTGGGAACAAGGAAGGCCGCTTGTGAAAAGGCCTGATCCGTTTTTTCAAGCTTCTTTGGACAGATGAAACCAGGAGGAGAAGGAAAAGGAACGGCCCGTGAGCCTGAAGACACCACCTCGTCTGCCAAAGCGCCGCCGTGGCTGCTGGGTCGCTGTTCGTCGATGATGTCACAGCCGACAGAAGTAGCTGGAAGCTTTGTGCTGTGTTTAGGGATTCACTATCCGCTCCGTTTCAGCCTGAGGATACTAACTCTATTGGACGGCGCTTCCCAGTGCGGATTGGATAATGACCCCAAAAATACAGCGTGAACATACAGAAAGCCGCTCAAGGCAAAGAAACGGAGAAGTCTTCAAGGGACGAGTCAGTCACCTGATCTCAACCCGATTCAACGTGCTTTTCACTTAAGATCAAACTACAAACAGACAACAGATGAGCAGCAGCTGAAGGAGGCTGCAGTCACAACATGCACCTTCAGAACTATACCGGTGTGTCAAATGATGTCTGACCCTCTAACGGTGGTGATGACTGTGTAGCCGTAGAATGTAATTCCTAAACTGTTATTGTGTCCATCGAATCAAAGTGACAAGGGGACAATTTACTGTCAACAATGAGTAACGCGTAAACACAACGGAGTGGAAAAACCTCTCTGTGATGCTGAAGTTAATATCGAATTTGGTGAATTTGATTTAAAAGCATGTTTGAATGATTTCATATTCGCACTGTTACAATGATAGAAAATCTTTACTTACCTGCATACTCAGTGACTGGAGGGAATAAATGTTTGGTAAGAAGGCTGACGGTAAATATGGTAAATCTTATCTTTTAAGATGATGTAGTCTATTGCAGAGTTACAACCACTTCCTGTTCTAGAGTTCAATAAGGGACAAACAGCTGTTCCCTGTATTAGTAGTATTTTGCCACTAGCATCAGTAGAAACCAACACACCCCCCCACCCCCCAAACTGCCTGTGTTCCCCTCTCTCTCCTCTCCAGGTGATGCTCAACAGCCCCAAACGCATTGAGGAGGAGAAAGCCAAAATGGCGGAAAAAGAGAGACAGTTACAAGAGAAAGAAGGAAAGATGGCGGCGAACAAAGCCAATAACACCGTGAATGGGACAGGCGGAACCCCGATACACGTCAACACCCTGCAGGTAAACGCTGCACACTCACACAATGCATCGGTGTGGCTTAAAGGTCACCACGTGCCTCATGTGGCTTCACCATTTGTCGCATCGGAAAAGGGAACCCCCCCCCCAAAAAACACATTTAATGGGCGGCGGGAATCGATATAAATTTAAAACAACGAGCTCATTTGGATCCATGTGAAACTTGAGTGTGAGTCAAGACACAAATTCACTAAGGCAACATGAAATGAACTGTGTCTCTGTCCAGGTGGTAGAAACTCGCTGTAAGAAGGTTTGCACCTCCAAGTCGGACCTCCGCTCCAACGACTTCAGCATCGTGGGATCTTTACCGCGGGACTTTGAGCTTTCTAACTTTGACTGCTACGGTAAAGCAGTCGAGGTCTTGGGGGTTCTCAAGTCCCAGATCAAAGCCAACAAGAAACCAGCGCCGCCCAAACCCGTCATCCCTGCCGCCGCCAAGCGCGTCGACCTCTACGCGCGGGCCCTGTTCCCCTTCTCCTTCCTCTTCTTCAACGTGGTGTACTGGTCCGTGTATCTGTGAGCCGCGGAGAGCGACGTGAAAAGGAGGTGTCTCGTCGCCGGGCTGATGTCGATGCTACGCGGAGCCTGCAAAAAGCCACAGTAAATATTTATTTGATCGTGTTCTATTTGAGAGTTTGCAGAGCGCTGTGGTCCTTTGGAGTGACTGTGGAGTACTGAACCTCGGGGGAGTTCACCTGAACCCCCCCCTTTAAACCCGGGCCCTGCATGTGTGTCTCTTAAACTAAACCCTGCTGTGGTGACACCGAGGACATTAGGCTGTACACTAGAAATACTGTCATGTTTTAAATGAGTAGAGCTCCAAAACGGCCAATACTAATTAAACACATGGAATAAATGTAAAAATATTCCAGGACTAAATGAAATGAAGTATGTTGTAAAACAGAATAAAGAAATGAAAAGAAATGACAAACATCTACATTTTTTATTTTCACAAAAGTCAAATGTACTTACGGGTGTGACGGTTCTGTTGTAAGCAAGGTGTGGATACTATTTAACAAATAAACTCTGGGCCGGGAACTCTGGGCCGGGAACTCTGTGCCGAGTTTGGGCCAGAAAAGTAAGTGTTGTTACCGTCTTGTGGGTGACTGGGGTCACGGCTGCAGGCCGAAGCCTCCACATGGTGCAGGTCAAAGGGCTCAGATGTAGTGAAGCAATCCGAAACGTCACACAACACAACACCAAAGCCAATCGTGACTTCTCCCTAATCTCAGAATAGCCGATCGCACGCGTCTCCATTCGGATGGAGCCTGTCGGTCTCCATCTGCTGGATGGAGGGCGTAACTACACTACCTTTACACACACACATGCACACACAGTGACTTATACACACACGTATTGCATTGATGTATATGCAGAAATCTCAAGCTTGAAGAGCCAGAAGCGTTAGAGGCCTCTACAAAAGTCGAACAATGATTTTAATGTGGGATGTAATAAACCGCTAACGAGATCCGGGCATCGCCTATGATGCAACAGGGAGATCAGGAGAGCAGAGCGCGGTGGAGGAAGCGAGCATCAGCGCTCCAGAGGACGTGAAGGCCACGGGGGACAGGGTGTGACCTGATGTGGTTTGACATTAGCTTACAAGAACAGTTTTCTTCTAATGAAAAACCGATCTGAAGACAAGGCTGCAGGTTAGTCAGTAGCCGGCGGGTCAACCAGGACGGCGGCGAGGAGCTGAGGGAAGGACCTGGTGCTGCTCTCAGGCATCCAGAGGGCCGCGTGGAGAAGAACGCAGCACGTTGACGTCAGGGCAGGAGGAGGACAACCTGGACGTCTTTCCTTCGATACCTAAGAACCGTTTGTGGCTCAACAGCTCCGCCTGGTGCTGCTCACAGCAAACTGCATCGAGGAGACTAAATACATTCTGCGTTGTTGTTGTTTGTTATTGCCCCCAAAAATGCCCCAATAACGTCAATCCTAAACACACAATTCAGACATTACAGAAACGATTTCAACAGAGCACATTTTTTCTGGTGAAATAGGGCATTGAATGAAAAAACAAAACAATATCATGGAGCTTTAGATTTTTATAAGACTTATAAAAAAAGAAAAAACATAATACAATAACCAAGGCATGTCGTACATTGTGTTTTTTCTTTGCTTCTCTGATGAGTATTTACAAACAGGCTTATTTACAGCTCAAACATGAAAAAAGGAAGGCTACATGAAGCCTAGCACAAACAACCAGCCATAATGATAATATATTTGTTATGTACAATGTAACTGGCAAGGCTAGAGCAAGAAACGACATAAAGACTCTGCAAAAAGGTTCAAATAACTTCAAGTATCTCTTGAGGTTTTCGTGGAGGTTCTATTCCGAAGGAGGCGATGCCGCAGAGAAACCCCCAAACGTGTAAGAGTAGTGAGGACATCGCAAAAGACGACAGAGACGGACGAGGCAACTGGACACCACTTCTCTGATTAATGCCTTTGAAACCACATGGGAAATCTCTCCTCGTCATATAAAGTAACATCCTGCTTTTTTTTTACTGTTTTAAACGACAAATGTGCAACAAAGGAAACAATCGAAGGAATCAATAACACGCTGGTTCCTGCAGGAGGAGGGGGGGGTCGGGGGGGTCGGGGGGGTGAGGGGGGGTAGCGGTAGCTGTCGGAACAGTTGTCATGTTTCTTTGTTTTAGGTCATCTTAGGCATCCAAAAGGAACTTCACTACATTCTGCCAACACGTCGTGGCCTCTCTCATGAAACCGATGAAATCTCCATCGTAATATTGTTATCTACATGAAAAGTCCTCACTTAGTACCTCACACGTGAATATGATGGACCGCATAAAACAAAACAGCAGTGTGAAAAAAGAGGATCTAGCTTGCTTGAAATATCTGGTTGTTCTTCTAGGTTAGAAGTAGTTAGTTCTACTCTCATTATATAGCCACTAGTAGGAAATGTGTGTCCCGAGGACGGGCCATTTGTCCTATTTACGTCTCCAAGTGCATAAAACTCTAACACTACTTCACGACGCTCAACAACACTGTGGGGCTCCGTCTCCTCCCCCTCTACATTTTAGTTTAGTGTATTCGTTTTGGAAGGAGACGAGAAGAAAACAACTCCATTTACAACACAACAAAGGCGGAGGCCAGTTTCAGGGTCTCAAACGGCCCCCGTCACAGTGCGCTGCTTCTTGACCCCCGAACCAGGAACGCCGTTGAGACGCGATAGTGTCACTTTTTAAGACCTTTAAAGTAGAGCAGACGTCTGTTCCATCGCCTGTCAGGGTTAGAAGAGTGAAATGTGGGACCGTCATTGTGCGTTTCCTGGGAAGCCGGGTAGCATTTGAGGATCGCCGCCCCCCCTCCCCGCCAGACCCCCCCCTCCAACCCCTTCAGCAGACAGTGAGCAGCTGGGGCTCACTTTCTCGCCGCTGGTTCTTTTTCAACAGCTGGATGCGATTGTGGCAGTAGAACTTGATGGCCCGCCAGTCGCGGTGGTTGCTGACCAGCAGGGGGCACTGCTGCAGGCAGCGCTCGCAGTCGGCCTTGGCGGGGACGCGGAGCTCGGTGATGTTCTGGGTCAGGTGCTCCTCAACCGCCGCGCGCTCCGCCTCTGACCAGGGCCGCTTCAGGACGCCGCGCTTCCCTGCAGACAGGAGGGGAGAGTAGGTGATGGTGACGTGTTTTGTTAGAAGCTCGGATGGACTCCGCCCCCACCCTACCACCCCGACACTGGCAACACAATAAAAGAGAATCTCACCTGCACAATTTTATCTGTATTCCCCAGTTTTGTTAAATCTAGCAGATAGGCCGTTATACTTCTAACAAACCTGATTTGGGCTGACCTGAGCCTCTCCTGCGGTTGACGGGCGTAGGCAGAGGAGGTGCGGGGGGCGGCTGCAGGTTCTTGAGCTTCTTGGGTCGCCCCACCCGCCCGTTGTTCTTGCCCTTCCTGACATACAGCAGGGTGGGCGTGGGGTTGGGAGCGGGAGCGGGAGCCGGAGGGGAGGCGGGCGCCTCAGGCTTCTCCTGCATCCGCTCCCCGTCGGACTCTCCCTCGGAGTACGAGTCGGCAGAGTTTCCCGACATCACTGGGAGGGCGAGGACGGAGACAGAAGACGACTTAATTAGTCCCACCCGTCAATACTCCCCACGTTCTCCTGTCAGACGCGGACACATGCGCACAGACGGGGGACGTTTGACACCATAAAAGGAGGGGCGGCGCCAAAGAGACACCAGCTACACTCATTCATTCTCACCATCCAGTTCCAGGCAGATGTGGTTCAGGCTCATTCCTCTGAACAGCACTCCGTCTCGCTCCCCGCAGAGCACCACCCGGCCCACCCGGCCCATCAGGCCTGGGTCTTGGCCGATCCCGGCGCAGTTCTGAGTCACGTGGTACTCCCTCTCCAGGAAGTGCTCCAGCCTCTCCACCGCGCTGCCCCCGGGCTGCCCGGGCTCCTCCCCTTCCCCCAGCAGCAGCAGCTGGGTCAGTATGGCTACCTGCCGGCGAACCCTGGTCTGGGTCAGGGCGCGGGGGTTGCGGGTGCCGCTCGAGCGGGCCAAGCTGCGCAGAAGGTCGGTGCCCCGCAGCGGCGTGGCGGGGGAGTGGTAGGGCCTGGCGAAGACGTACGGGTTCGCCGGGTCCACGCCCACGTCCTGCCGCGTCTCCAGGAGGAGCTCCAGGCAGGGCTCGCAGTGAGGGGGCAGGATGAGGGGCTGCACTCGTCCACGTTTGCCCTGGACGCCGACCCTGGGGAGGTGAGGCAGCACCAGGCGCTCAAACGGGGACAGGGAGGCCTCCAACGGCGTGAGGGCGGGCGGGGCACCCAGGGGCACGGGAACCGGGCACTGGGGGGTGATGCGAGCGTGATATTCGCCGATGGACAGCTTGGAGACCTCGCACTCACGCCGCCGGTTGTACAGGATGAGGAGAGCCAGGCTGGAGTGGCAGAGCAGGCGCCAGGCCTCGGCGGATTGGAGCTGCCGAGAAAGGGACAAGAAGGCCGAGTGCTGCAGCCGACGGAGGTACAGCACCAGGGAGGACAGGGACGAGAGGAGGGGCAGCATGTGGTGACGCCCCGAACCGCTGAAAGAGGAGACGGGGAGCAATAAGTCACCGGTCAAATAATTGATTCATCTTTCAATTCTATTCTATTTTTTGATCAAAAGGCAGCACACAATTTGATGCTCGCCAGATGACCCGTAGATTTCATTGTGTTGATCTGTCAATACACTGATGATTTACTAAAGAAGATATAAACCCCAAAAGGATATATGATATAGATAAACAGGATGTTCCATTTTTACACCTTCTAAAGCCCTCTGATGATAATTTTATACAAAATGTATTGATTTGAAATAAACATCAGGGGGGAATTATTTTCTGGAAGCACAATTGTATAAACATACGATTTAATATATATGAATATAATTTAGAAAGTGATCATCTATCCTGTTGAACAAATGCTTCCTTTTTTGAATGTACAACTTTCCAGAGTTATTGGAAATGTTTGGATGACGGGAGTCTAAAATAAATCCTACGTAGCAATAAACTAAATGATTAATCGTCAATAAACGATTAGCTGAAGACCTAAACTCACAAAGCAGGCAAAGACCACAAGTTACCTGAGCAAGTCCTTTTCCTTATCCTCGGTCCCACTTTCATCCTCCACCTCCATCACTCCATTCTCCTCCTCTTCCTCCTCTTCTTCATCCTCCTCATCTTCCGCAATTTTCGGAGGCTCCATGTTTTTGGCTAAATTGTTTGCAAAGGATGGAGCGCACACCACCTCAACGTGCTCCTCCTCTTTGGGCCTCTTCACCTCTACCACCTCCACGTCGTCGTCATCGTCGTTGTTGTTGCTGTTGTTGTTGTTGTCCTCCTCCAGTCTTTCCGTCTTCAGCCTCCTCACCGCCCCCTTCCTGGACTGCGCCGTGGCCACCGGGGGCGGGCTTCGCTTCAGGACAGACACCGGCACCGCGCTCTGTCCTCGCGGAGGCGTCAGCACCGATGAGGTGGGGTTCCTTCCAGAGGAGGCGGGGGATTGGTTAGCCGCCGTGAGAGTGGGCGGGGGCATGGAAAGGTCCTGGACGCCGAGCTGAGTCAGATCCGAGACGTGGCCGCGTCCCGCGTCCTGCGGCGCGGAGCGCTGCGGCGCGTGCGCGGGAGCGGTGGCGGGGTTCGAGTTCTGTGCGTGCAGGCGGGGCATCTGCGTGTAGCGCTCCACCAGGGCGGAGCACACCTCTGGCTGGTGGGCGTGGTGCTTGTCCAGGTGGCGACCCAAGGAGCGGAAGTGGCGCCCGCAGTGCTCACAGGTTTGCCGCATGGAGTCTATGGACACGCCTCCTCTCGGGACGTTCGAGCTGATGTTGCCCTTTGTGCTGGAGCCCAGCGGAGCCGGAGCTTTGAACACGAGCTTCGCGGAGGTGGAGGACGACGAGGCGGGGGGGGTGGTCTGACCTGGAGGGTGGGGTGAGGGGAGCGGGCTGCTGTGGTGGGGAACGCCGGTGGGGCAGACCGGCAGCGGGCGCCCGGACGCGGCCCGTTGGGGCGTCTTCTTCTTCAAGTGAGCGCCACGCCGTTTCTTGCGCCGGCGTAGCGCTCGCCCGCGGGGGCTGCCGGTGTCTTCGTCTCCAGCATCGGAGTCACTGGCGTCAGAGTGGGAGATGGGGGAGGAGGAGGGGGAGAGAGACCAGGACGGGGTGACGTAGTCCTGCTGCTGGGGCTGCTGGGCGGTCACAGACAGAGGCTCCTCCTCCTGCAGATGACAGAACACGTCACCTCCTGTCTGGAGACCTTTTCTGATGAATCCTTTGTTACATAAATATAATAAATTGATTAAAAAAATCATATTTGCTTCTTTATTGTTTTAACCTTTTCCTTCCCGTTTCCTCCTTCGTGACTGCATTCTACATGTGCGCTTTAAGTACTTAAATATCGTGGGAAAAGCCCACCGGCAGCACACAGGTGTTCTCTTTAACAGCAGTGGTCCCTGACTTTGTTTAAACCCCCCGGGCTCTTTGAACCAGACCCCCACCATGTCAAAGACTGTGTCCGTCTCAGTGCATTTTAAAATGCTGTTACTGGCCCGTCTGCACTCCACACACGTGGACCAGACTATTTAGTGTGCAGCAGGAGGCGGTGCTCAGTGAGAAGAGCGAGAACGATACGTCAGAGTGACAAAAAGTACTAAACCCGAGAAAGTCACTACGTTCGCCACAAATTGCTTCTTTTGACAGACGTCAGTTTGGGTTAAACCATCCTGGTAGTCTGCGGGGGAGGGGGGAATTTGGATTTTTAGGATAATAAAATTAAATAGCCCACTGAATATGAATTCAGTTTAGGAACTGACGACTATTTAATGGACGCTAGTGTATTGAGGTAAACTTCCTCCCTGTCCTCTGTCCCTCTATTTGGGTCGCGGCTTGTCATTAAGTTGCGATGGTGTGTCCCGCAGACAGACCAGCTGAGGACCACCGGTCTAAAGAGCAGGCGGTGTCAATCACCTACTCACTTCTTAAAATAATAGAACTTGAGTTTTGAGGTCCATATGTGTACTTTTCTACAGCCCAACCAGCCCGGGCGAACCAAGAAAATACTCTATTTGACCTTGTTTGCTGACCATTCAGTCAGTCCAACCAATGAGAGAACAGTTGTGTGACGTGATGTAACCACTTCTTCTGGCTGGTGAGAAAAATGAGGTATCATCTGAATCCAGCTTGAGGGAGAAGCTGGTGCAGTGTCTCTTACCTTTTTGACATTGTTGTTGTTCTCTGTGTCGGAGGGAGACTCGTGTTGCACGGGAGACACGGTGCCACGGAAACCCTGCGGCCAACAAAAGGCAGACGTTAAAAAATGTCCGAGCACGTTGCTCTTGGTGTTTGGCATCACAATCAGCCTCAGCTGCCACTCAAGTGTCAGGAGGACGCCCCTCAGGCTGATCAGGACAACAAGCAGAAAGAAAAAGAAGTGAGGAGATATTCTCTAAAAACACTGTCAACAAGACACATTGATCAGGCTGGAAAACTAACGGAACAAATCAGGCAGCCAATAATAATATAATATGAAACAGTTCTAAACTTCATCACAGCCAAATTACGGATATAAATTATGGCTTTTAAGGAACTGTGAGGAACCACGGTCCCACTTGTCCCACAGTATATTTCATTGTAGTATCATCATACTGTTGAGTGTGATTGATTCGATCTAATGAGGTCCATTAGGAATAGATGTCATTGAATAACCATGGTTACTGTTGCTAAAGCACTATAGCTAGAGAAGGAACTGGAGCTCAACCATCGCCATGGTAACCGCCTGCCTTGCTTAGCTTCGTTTGTGTGGTATGAATGTGTGCACAGCGGGGAGTGTGTGTGTGTGCGCGTGTGTGTGTGACAGGCAATGATTGTGTGAAACTGATCAACACTGTGTGAATGCACATACGGTTGATGATGTCATCAGAGATATGTACACTGCTTAAAATCTATTTCTATACTTGTGAGGACCAAGTGGTCGAGGGCAGCCAGGCAGTGGGAATTTTACCAGCTGGTTTTGGATTAGAAACGTACAAAACAGGGTCAGGTACAGTTTACAATCAAACTGAGACAAATTCAACTAGGGAATTAAACAGCTCTGCCCAGTCCCACCATAATGTCCTGTGGATGCGCTGGGTCCTGCTCTATTGTCTATTATTCCTTCCAACAAGGCCACGGAGAGTCAGTGGAACCTGCACGAGGCCCCTGCTATTTAACTTCCACTCAAAGCTCTTTTTTTTGTTTTTTTACTGAAAATATTTCACAATACACACTTTCCCCAGACAATTATAATGACAATAAATGTGGACATTGCGTCAAAGGGGTTTTAGCAACCACCAACTGCAGCCTTTCCTCACTATTACGAGTTTAAGAAGACCCAAAAATCTAAACGTTGTAAAACGCTCCGCAGGGCGGATGGGTTTAAAAACTCCTGGTTTACCTCGTGGCAGCAATTGTGAGAGACTGAGTTTGGAAGCAATGACCTACTTGATTGGGTCTCGACGTGACCCTTTCCCAGAGGATTCCACCACTGCCAGTGGTTAATGTAACATGGAAAACTGATTACAAGCATTGCAATTCCTGCTGTGCAGTTCAATCTGCAGTCTTGCAGAGGAAACAGGCTCTTATTGGAGCGATTGGTGATATAAGCCATACGGAGCATACTTTATTTACAGGTCACGCTTTGAGGAGGCCAGCGCACTTCGCTTCTCCTATTAATGCTCATTTTTATTCTCCACGACTATTGGGAAGTCCACATATAAATCATACAAGGAACAAAAGCATTCACTTCTCTCCAGTGCAACGGAGTCTTCAGCCACCAGCAGAGCTAAAAGTGAAAAAACAGACACCATGAAATCCAACTCCACCCTCAGGCTCCGTGTTCATGTGACATTCGTTTTTCGGAAATCATTTTGAAAACAATTCTGAAAATTTCATTTCCAAACATACTTGGCAATAAACCGTTTGTGACTCTCAAGCGTTGCACCAGAAACCAGTGTGTGTGTGTGTGTGTGTGTGTGTGTGTGTGTGTGTGTGTGTGTGTGTGTGTGTGGCTCTTTAACAGGGAACTGACCAGGTTGTCTCCCCACTCGGTCAGGCTGTAGTCCACGGTGATCTCCTCCCCCTTGGTGATGTCCCGGATGGCGATGACGACCAACCGCACCTGGCTGCCGCAGTGCACCTCTCGGATGCGGCAGTTCGGGGACGGGGGGAAGGAGCTGGCCGCCGGGGCCGGCGCTGAGGCCGCCGGGGCGGCCGGGGCCGTGGACGCAGGGGTCAGAGACGGGGCCCGGGTGGAGGCCGCCGCAGAGGCGGGGAGCGCCGTCGGGGCCGCGGGCGATGAAGCGGCCGCAGCCGGGGCCGGTACGGAGGCCGAGCGGGAGCAGGTCTTGGATCCGATGGGGACTTTGTGGCGAGGCGGCGCTGATGAGCCGCTGGGAGGGAAGAGTTGAATTCACTAACGTCATCCAGCAACAAGTGCTCGTGCTGCAGTTCTACTGCGGTTTCTTTTTTGATCTCGTGTACCTGTGGTGCATTTTTATTGATTTCTCATCTAAACAATGTTTAAAACGATATAAACAGTGTTTCCCCAAAGTGTAAAGCTTTTAAACAAAATGTGCCTGTGGCACATAATATTAGGAAAACACTGAATTAGTTGTTAAAAGAAATTTAAACAACAGTAATTGATAATTAAGTCACGTTCATTCAATTTTATTTCTTTCTAAAAAATGGAATTGTATGCAAATGTGCATAAATGCACACTGACCAGTATTGAGGAGCGTGCTCTGCGTTGTAGAACGGTCCGTCCAGCACGGGACGCTTATTCTCTGCTGCTTCTTTACGATCACCTGAGAGCACAGCAGCCGTCAGTGTGACACTATAACATACAAGTATGCAGGGACACACACACACACACACACACACACACACACACACACACACACACACACACACACACACACACACACACACACACACACACACACACACACACTCACAGTCGCCCAAAGTCCGTCTCCTCTTCTCCTGGAGCACACACACACACACACACACAAAAGTAGGTCACACTTGCTTGCACACGCTCCACCCCCATAGCAATAACACACAGAGGCGCACACACACACACACCCACACACACACACAGAATATGGCGTGCAGATATATAAACACACACAAACACACACCTGGGCTGAAGCTGTGTTCAGGCACGCTCTCTTCCTCAGCTTGTGTGACTTTCATGGGTGTCCCTTTTCTTTTCCTCCCACAGCCACGCCTGCAAAGAGCACACAGACACACGCTCCCCGTTATCATTCCATCCATCCACCCGCCGGCCAAAGGTCAATGGGGTCAGAGGGTGATCAATAAGTTGATGGCCACCCGATGGATCAATACAGGTAGTGTTTGCTAATCCTATATGAGCAAAGCATACTGGCCATGAACGAAACGCCGCGGAGACAATGACACAGCGAGTGGACGATGGTGAAACATGAACTGATCTGCGTCCGTCCAACAAGAGGACGTCGCTTCAGTGGACATTCTTCAACAAAAGCGTTTAGAAACTTTGCCTCCGCCCACACCGGATTAATGTGAAGGCAAGAAGAGATTTAGAGACTAACCCCCCCTCTGATCTTCACTGATCGGAGTACTGCCCCTTGTGGACGTCTGAATCCTAACAGTGCATTTGTAATAATAAGCGATTACTTTGCTTTATAACTGTGAGAACAGAGAACCTTTTAGGCTAATAAACTACATCGATGTATGACTTTTAATTAAAGCAGCCTCAAAACAAACAAAAAAAATCCACAAAGGCAAAAACATGCACAGAGATAAAAAGACCTTTTTGGAGGATTAGAAACACTTTTCAAAACAATTTTCTCAAATTTCAAAAATACTATTAAAAAACGTAATAAATAAACTGTGGTTTGAATTTGTGATTGTGGTTTCAATCCAAAACCCACTAAGAATAAAGAAGAGTATTTACAGTGATTTCGGTAAAAGAATAAGAACATTTACTTCTTTTAATAAAGAAACTATTTACAGTCCACGAAACTAGCGGAAACAGCCACACAACAGAACTTCAAAAAGCTAAACTGGATTCAGCTTAAAATGATGATTAGATCAACTGAAGGTACAAATAAAGACCCCGCCGACCACAGCAAGATCCTGCAATCTGCTGAGTGCTCTGACCCCCACTGAGGAGGGAGCCGTTACCCCCGCAAAGACACCGGTGCCACGGCAAGATCCACCCATCCGATCCCATCCGATCCCATCCGATCCCACCATCCGATCCCACCATCCGATCCCATCCGATCCCATCTGATCCCATCCGATCCCGCCTCCTCCGCCCCACTCTGCTCGCTCTGTTGCCACAGATTTCTACATTGTTTTTCCGTTAGTCTATTTTTTACTTGTGTGACATTGCAGGCTCCTGAAAACTAGGCAATAGGAAGATCGTGCCTGGGATTCTGAGGTGTTCATTACTGTGAGTGTGAGTGTGAGTGTGTGTGTGTGTGTGTAAGCAGAGAAGAGAGGAAAAGACAGAAGAAAACTAGAGAGAGGACAGACAAGAAGATCAAACGCGATAGGAAAGAAAAAAAAAAGACTGAAGAAACAGCAAAAGGAAGCTAAAGGGGTAAAAGGAGGACAGGGACATGGAGCAGAGACATGGAGCAGGGACATGGAGCAGAGACATGGAGCAGAGACATGGAGCAGGGACATGGAGCAGAGACATGGAGCAGGGACATGGAGCAGAGACATGGAGCAGACCCAGCGTCTCCGTATCGATCCTCTCATCAGGACACGTGATACTACACACAGAGAAGAGCAGCGTTCTGAGGCAGGCGCACAAGATTCTTTTTCCCTCTTTTTCTTCTGCACCACACACACACACACACACACACACACACACACACATCTCGCCTTTGAAAACGTAATTACATAACAGAATAATAATATAATAATAGAACAGGTCACAAACACGTCGCAGCTCAGGAAACGACTTGTGGCATTTTAGACATCACACCGCGGTAAACAATAACAACGGCACAAGCGTGGCGATAATATAGCGACAACTTGCTCCATGGCAACCGACGTCCCGAAATGACATGAATGTCACATTTTCATGAAACACAATGATAATCAATAGGCGAGGATTGGAAGTGTTTGCTGAATCAAAGTCATGATGTCAATAAGAAAACGTTTGGGGTAAAAGGAGCAAATCAATGCTTCCAAGATGACCACAGCCAGTGTCCCCCCCATCTCACCGCGCTGACCTGCAGTCAGTCCTCCAGCACACAGGCTGAGACAACACTTGATCCTGACCGGTCACCAGCTTTTCCCAGAAAAACTGTTTTCCTCAGTTTGTATTTTCGCTGTGCGGGAGGAGGGGGAAGTATGTTTGTGTATTTAGTTCTGGTTCAATGAGTTTTCAGGGAAACTTTCTTTCAACCAAAATCTGTCTCACCTCCACCAGTTAACCTCTGCGTCCCTCCGTGTCCCTCAGTGTCCCTCTGCGTCCCTCTGCGTCCCTCTGCGTCCCTCTGCGTCCCTCTGCGTCCCTCCGTGTCCCTCCGTGTCCCTCAGTGTCCCTCAGTGTCCCTCTGCAACCCTCAGTGTCCCCACTTCTATTGGGCTCCATCGATTCTCTTATTCCTCTCTTTCTCTGCACAGTTCTCTCCCTTCTTCACTACAGGTTGAAACGACACACAGACGGGGCACACACGGCGCGCACACACACAGCCCCCCTCCCGCCAAACCCACAATGTGCGACACAAATACACACAAAAGTGCATATTCAAGAGCCCACATATGCGTGAGCACACACATACAGAGCCACACACACACACACACACACACATCACTCCCCCTATCTGGCCCACATGCATGTACAAAACACACACACACACACATCCCTCCCTCTCAGGCTTACAAGCACGCAAACACACACAAAGAGTGCACACAAATATCCTCTCTCTAGC